TCTATGGCTGGTAATGGTGGAAGCATAGCAGAGGCAGCCAAAAACTTTCAAGTCTTGTAGATCAGGTTGCTTGTGGTGGAGTTTTTCATAGGGGGTTAGGTTGTTAAGAACTGGGGTTGGAACCCTATTGATAAGAAAGACAACATGCTTGACACAGTCTCCCCAGAAACCAATTGGAAGGTTTGCCTGATATTTTAAGGCTCGAGCTATAGCTAGGATATGCTGGTGTTTACGCTCGACCTTGCTGTTTTGTTGGGGTGTCTCTATGCATGACATTTCATGTATGATTCTAGTTTGGTCAAAAAAATCTGTCATTAGGAATTCTTTCCCTTGGTCACTTCTAATTGTTTTAACAGAACAGGAAAACTGGTTTGTGACCATTGTGCAGAAGTTTTGCAATTTTGGTCTGGCTTCTGCTTTGGATTGAAGAAGAATGAGCCAAGTCATTCTGGAATGATCATCCATGATGGTAAGAAAATATTTAAAACCATCATATGTAGGAGAAGAGTTTGGACCCCAGATGTCTACATGTATGAGTTGAAAACAAGTAGTAGTTACAGTTGTGCTTGATGGAAAAGGAAGCCGTTTTTGTTTGGCAAAATGGCAAACATCACAGGGTAATAAAATGTTGGTCTCTACGGAATCACAAAGTAGTTTCAGCTGTGATATTCTGCTATGGGAGACATGTCCAAGTCTGAAATGCCAAATGTCAAAAGTGGGGGAACTAACAGCTGCTGTGATGTGGTTAGGTGTACTATCTAAAGGAAGATTGAGGTGGTAAAGGCCATGGAGGAGCTTAGCAGAACCAGTCACTCTCCTCAGCTTCAAGTCCTGCATAGTGCAAGAATCAGAAGAGAAAGTTAAGCTGAGAGGGCTGGTAGTTGTGAGCTTGCTCACTGAGAGGAGATTGAAGGTGAATTGGGGAAAAAAGAGGACATCATGAAGAGTCAAACCATCAAGGCATTTGATTTGGCCTTTATGTGTGGCCTGAACTCTATCACCACTGGGGAGATTTATGAAAATATGATGTACTTGTTGTGAATTGGAAAGAAAAGAAATGGAATTGACAATGTGGTCAGTGGCACCAGTATCAATGATCCATGGAATGACTGTGCCAGTGTGATGAGTGATATTGCAGGAAGGGTTACCTGATGAGCCAGATGTGCAATGAGTGGTAAGAGCTGCTGAGTGGGAGGACTTGCCCTTCATGGTCTCATTCATGAGAGACATCAGTTTGTCATAGTCTGACTTGGTGAGTTTGAACTCCTGGACAGGTTCAGGTGAAGGGTGACTGTCAGCAGCATTGATAGAGGACCTTGATCTTGGAGGGCCTGGAGGCCTGGACTGGGAAGGGGGTGGATAACCATGTTTCTTGAAACATTTCTCCTCAGTATGCCCTATGCGTTTGCAAAAGGTGCATTCAGGGGGTTTTGAAGAAGGAGTGGAGGGAGCAGTGGATCCCCTTGGAGTGTAGCCTGGTGGCCAACCATGCTTATGGTAGCATGTTTCTTCTGTATGACCAGGTGTGTTGCAGAAGGTGCAATGAGGGCGTTTGCCAGAAGGGAATGGGCATTTGTAGCCTTGAGCAGCAAATGCTGAAGATTCAGCTGTGACTAGTTGTCCTTGTTGGGTACCAAACAATTGTCTCTCGTGTTGGAGAGCACGTTGAAAGACCCTGTCTATCGATGGCAAGGTGCCTCCAAAAAGTACTTGGGATCTCACAGTTGCAAAATTATCATTCAAGCCACGAAGGAACTGGATAACTGAATTGACATCTTTGTAACCAAAAACAGCATTCATGGAGACACAGGTTGTGTGACTGGTGTCTGTGCAGCGACAGGGATCTATGGGTTGATAATTATCCAGTTCATCTTGCAAGGCTATGAGATTCCCATAGTATTCAGTCACAGATTGGTTACCTTGCTTGATGGTGGCAATGGCGCCAATCAGCTCTGCAACTCGAATCATGTCCCCGTGGCCATAGCGTGATTTGAGGCTTTGCCAAGCTTCAGAGGCAAGTTTGCATGACATGATGGTTTTCTTGATGAGGGGATCGACTGCTTGTTGGATCCAACCGAGGACCATGACATTGTTTCTTGTCCAGGAAGAAAATGAAACATCTGTTGGGGCAGGGGCCACGAGTGTGCCATGGATGAAGCCAAGCTTGTACTTGGCGGCCAATGCGTTGATCATAGCCTTGCTCTAATCGTTGTAGTTGGTGGTGGTCAGCTTCTCATCTACCAACAACAACCCTGGTTGATCAGAATGATGAAGAAAGAAAGGATCAGACATGGGATCCATGTTTAAATGTGCTTCTTGAGCGGCCATTTGGGAGGCGGCGGCTAGGGTTGCTCTGATACCATAACAACGAATGTGTGGTGTAAAACCCTAACTTAATTTCTCATTGATCATCTTTTGGATTTTATACAAGGAAAATGAAGGAAGAAGACAAGCTTCTGTGAGCTGTCGATTACAGCAAAGGAAAAAGAAGAACAGAGTTCTAAAATGAAAGTACAAGGAAGAAAGTGACACTCTCTTGGTCACAACGACGGCGTATCGATCTTCTGCTTCTCTTTGTCCCGAGACGACGTCGTTGGCTTCAAGCGCCCTGAAAGTGAAACGATGTCGGACCAACTAGGCTTGCAACTAGCCGTTGTGATTAAAATCAGGTTTTGGGGATTTTCATCTGATAATATACCAACATGCAACAAAAGAAACTAACCCAGGGGACGAACTTGAATCTCAAGAAAATAAAACAAACCAATAGTAATGTTGCAATCCCATAATAACCCAAATTTCGCTCTCTACAAGGCAGTTCAATTGCTCAAGAACAAAGCAGCAATGGCGGAATCGGAAAAATGCCCAGAACGGAGGAAGAAGAGTGGTATGGAAGAAAGAGACTGGGACTTACCTTACCTGCTCGGGGTGTGGGGCTGCCGCTAAGAATGGGATGTGGAGAATGCGAATCATAAAGAAACGGTTGTGCATCATTCGGAATCGGGGGAGATAAGGTAAAGGATGACCGAGAAGGAGAAAGGAGACTAACCGTCTCTCACTTCTGATGAGGGTTGGAGGTCTCCGTCTCATCTTCCGTCGATTGGTTCGTCTCCCACCAGATATGTATTTTAAATCAACCTCGTTTTGGAAACCCAGGGTCATTCAGGTCGGTTAGCTCCGGTTAGTCGGGTAACCGCAGTTAACTCCCTCCGGTTACTCGGCTAACCGCAGTCAATCCCTCCCCCTCCCAACACCGACCGACCCTTATTTCCCATATGTTTTCGGTTAGCCGCTAATCGGTGATTTCGGTTGAACCGACCGGTTAGACGGTAACCGACAACCGAACTGCCACCCCTAAGTTTGAGTGCCTATTTGAGAACACGGATCTATTGATCCTTGACGGCGATCTCCTTATTTTTGTCAGCAGCAGACTTATCATCATCCCCGCCACCTTTCCCCTCGACCAGCTTCTTGTTCAACTCCCTGATCTCCAAGTCCTTCTCATCCCGAAGAGTCTGGTTCTCCATCTCCAGCTCCTCTATGACTTTCGCTAGGTTGACCAAACCCGAGCTCTCCACCATCAGCTCCCTGGTCCCCAACTGGTACCGGTCCCACTCCGTCGCAATCGGAATGGCGACCTCAACACCATGCTTGGACCAGTCGAAGAGATCGTTGAGGCGGCGGTAGGGATTTCCTTCCTTGGGTCCCTTATCGCCGCCACTAGGGTTGAGCCACTGTATTAGATAATAAGGACCATTCTGTAAATAACCAAATAGCTTAAGATTAGTTTAGTAATAGTAGAATGTAAATAGGACCTATAATGTAAATTAGCTAGGTTGTTACAATGGTCTTTCCCTCTGTTGAACTCTCTAACCAGAGTATAAAATCAAATTCACAAGCTGAACTCTGCACGATTTTCTTCCTTCAATTGAGAAATTCAGAACTTCAATCAGAATTATAGCATGGTATCAGAGCTTCTGTGAGCCAATTTCGTCTCAAATTCTCGCTTCTGCATCTCTCTTCTCTCTTCTTCGAGTTTTTTACATCGTCCTCCTATGGCGATTCATGATTCTTCTTACTCCGGCGACGAAGCCGCAAATCCTCACACTGGAGGTCGCCAGACTAATCCTGGTGTGATTCTGTACAAGGGCGTTCTGATCTTTGATCTCGTCTCTCCCTTCTTCATTCACCCGTCAAAAAATTGGGGTCAATGTCTCGTTTCTCAGCCTCTTACCGAGAACAATTTTTCGAGCTGGGAAAGATCCATGGTTCTTGTCATCGATGGCAAGAACAAATTAGGATTTCTCAATGGCAAAATCCCGCAGCCACATGACGATTCTCCACTGCTTGAGCCCTGGAATCGCAACAACAAATTGCTTCTCAGCTGGATTCAGAGGTCTGTGAACCCTACAATTGCTGAGAGCATTCTGTATGCGACTACGGCTGTTGGTGCCTGGACCGAGCTTCGAGAGCAGTTCTCACAAGGGGATTCGTTTCGCATTGCTGATCTTCAAGAAGCGATCTTCAATCTCAAGCAAGGTACAATGAGCGTTTCTCAATATTACTCTAAGCAACGAGCTCTTTGGGATCAGTTAGCGAACTGATTCATTCCAGATTGTGATTGTGGAATTAGTTGCCATTGCATTCTAGCTTCCTTGCATAAGGATTACATGAATGACAAAGTGATTAGGTTCTTGAGGAATCTGAATGATAGTTTTAATGGGCCGCGTTCCACATTCATGCCCCTAGATCCATTGCCTCCCATAAACAAAGTGTTTGCTATGATGGTGCAACACGAAAGGGAAAATGGCTTGTTGCCTAAACCACAGACTCATCCTCCTTCTACTGGACAGCATTTGGGTGTTCAGGGCACTGGCCAAGGATTCAAGAAACAAGGCAAGAAGCCTGTTTGCACTTTTTGTGGCTATACTGGTCACACAGAGGATATATGCTACAAGAAGAATGGGTATCCTCTTGGGAAAAACCCAGAAACCCTGTAGTCTTCACACCCTTCCATTCTGACTCCTCCTTTTCCCAATCTTATAGAAAAACCCTAATTCCCAAAATAAAAAACCTTCCCTTCCATTCACCACGCGGCGCGCCTCTCCTCTCCATAATGCCCTCCTCTTCCGAGACCAGATCGTCGGTCGTTGCTCGTCCTCTTCCGCCGCCGCGCTCGTCCCACCTCGGCTTCCGTCATCTAAGCCTTCGTCGCCTCCGCTCTTCCACTTCACCACCATCGTCGCCTCTGCCTCAGGCAGCGATTCGTCCATCTTCGGCCTAGCTCTTCCCGCCGATCGCCGTCGCTGCTACTCCTCGTCGTCCTTCATAGAGATAGAGAGAGGAGAGAGGAAGAAGAAGGGGTTTGGAGGGTAGCAGTGACAGAGAGGGGAGAGGAGAAGTTTGATTTTGTTTTATTATTTTTGGGGAAAAAGGGAGGAGAGAAGAAGAAGAAGATAAAGGATGTGTGGTGTGGCTTGGTTCTTCTTTTTATTTCTTTTTAATTTTTTATTGCTTAGTAGTTGGTTGGTAACGTGGGATGAGAGCAGAAAAGAGAACGTGGGTGGGGATGTGGGGTTGGTTTCTTTTTTTTCAAAATGAACTCGGTTAATTGCGGATAACCGAGCCAAAACCGAAAATCAATTGGTCGGTGCTCGGCTAACCATGGATTCCCTCGCGGTCGGTGGTCGGCATGCAGAAAGGACGGCTCGGTTTAACCGATAACCGGAAAATCGGTTTTCGATTAAACCGAAACCGACCGACTGACACCCCTACTCAAACTCTTCCTCTAATTAAGCTATTACTATGTTCCTTCCTGTCCACCGGCCGGCTCCTCCTATTCGCTTATCTATTATGTTCCTAATTTTTCTTTTTTTTTTTTTGAAAAACAAATTAGGAACATAACAGATTCTGGCGCTAGCCGGCCCTGTCCACCGGCCGTCTCCTCCTATTCGCTTATCCGTTATGTTCCTAATTTTTCTTATTGTATATGTATTCTGGCGCCAACCGGCGGCCGGCGCGTGGCATGGTCGTTGGTTACTTTAATTTGTGTGTACCCCATGTTTCATTTATCAGCGCATGTTTGTTGTTTAATTGGCATATACTGAGTTGCCAATTAATAAATAAAAATTGAACTATGTGTTTTTTAGTATCTGAACTCTGTGAGGAGATATGGTGCTAATATCACTATACGTTGTTGTATATAGGGATAATTTGAAGAATAGAACGCTATCAATTCATGTGTGTGTTTCATTATCTAGCAATTCTAGCTATTAGCCAAATAACAGCATAAAAATGTAACTAAAGTAAAGACCACTTACAGGTTTTTTTCCTGAGAGGTTCCCGGCGCCTTTCACCTCGGTTGTCATCATAATCGCCGACACGACTCAAGCCACGCATATAGAGCTGGCAATTAGGATCCAAATCTGTGAATCCAATCCATCTACCAAATTATCAACTTAATCCAATCCAATTGATCCAAATCCAATTGGATTGGTGGATTCATGATCAATGCAATGGATCCAAATGGCAAATTACGATTTGGTACCTATATTTTTTAATTTTACATTTTGGTGCCTAAAATTTATATTTTTATACGAAAAAAATCATTGGAAAATTACATTTTGGTACCTAAAATTTTTCATTATGACATTTTAGTAGCTAAACTTTTTCTTTAAGCCCTTTTATTTCTTCGTGGTGATAAAATATATATGAAAAGGCAAAAACAATACTCCTTTTTATTGCTAAAAATAAAAAATTTAACAATAAACTAATGCATGGTATCTAATGGGCTAACCGCCAACCATAAAATAAAAGAGTTGAATTGGCCTGACCTACACGGGATTTGGCCATCAAGTAAAACAAATGAACATCATTGGTTTGCCATTCTAAAACAAACTATTTTCTCTTGCATAATATGTATTATGCTATTATTTTATATCTTAGTGGCTAAAATATAATTTATTTTAAAGTGATTCAATGGTTCAACCTCGACCAACCCAATTAGTCCAATTTTTATCATTTCAAATATATATTATATAATTATTTGATATCATATGATCAAATTATAGTGTATTTTATAGGGAATCGTTTGGTATTTGTTAGTAAAAAACTAAACATAAAGATCTATTTGGTCATTTTAAACATTAAAACGATCCTAAACATTTTCAGTTCCTTTTGAATTTCTATGGTTTTATTCCCAAATAAGTGATGTGCAAATGGCGAATTGTAGTTGTCTCTTTTCTTTCACTATTTTTTATTTTCAAATAGAAAGTTTAAAAGTAAAGAATAATTAGAATTTGGCATGGGTCGGTCAAACAGGCTGAATTTCAAGTTTTGGCCAGTTTGTTTTATGCATTGCAAATTTATTAGCATGTTGATGGAAATGGCTTGGAAAGAAGACATATAAGTTGTACCTTTACAGAAATGTCCTCAAATGTTTGAATGCTTTGTGAATCAGGTTCCGTGACTTTTGTGATGGTGTATGTGCTTGACGATTGCTCGATGTTGTAACTGCTTAATTTGAGAGTAAATCTTTTGATTTTCGCTATGAGTTATGATACCAGTTCTGGTGGTTACAGCATGTTGTCGTTGTTGGCCTATAAAAGTTGTTCCGCCGTGATGCTAAATACCTTTCTCTATTTTTTAACAAATTGTGTAGTAGTGCTATGAAACAGACCACCCATGAACGCTACGCTTATTATGGTCTGTTCTTACTTCCGGTGGTGAGAAATTGTGAATTGAGAATCATATTCGCCTACCGCACTGTGTCTGGCTGGTGGCTGCTTACTGTGCTCTCTAGAGTTATGAAACAGACTACCCATGAACGTTACCCTTATAGTCCATAACTTTGCGAAAAACTAAATTTAGGCAATCAAAGGTGTTGGATGTGTGATGATTTTTTATGGCTTAATTGTTTGTGAATTTGATATCTGATCTTTGTATGGTTAGAGGGGATGCTTGCTTAATAGGATAATCCATTTTAATTCATGTTTATTTTTAACATGAACTTTAGTAACTCAAAACCTTCGAGACACATATCACCTACTGCATTGTATCATTTTGCCTGGGTGCTTGCTGTGTTGTCAAACTTCTTTGCTGCTGCTACTTTTACACTAACAGGGAGTTAAGAACCCATGAATGATTTCGTTTGACACAAACAGGAGGACTTGCTTCTAAATCGTGCAATAAAGATGATTGGAGGAAACATCTCTGTTGCAGTTGATATACTGGAGACTAGAACAAAAGCAACGTATAGCATCAAAACCAACCATCTGAAGTATTAGCATTGTTGCTTTACTCTTTTTTCGTGGTTGAGTCTCCTTCAAAAAATTTAGTTTGATTTTAGACAATTTTGCTTCTGCAGTCCTGTCTTGCCACCAACGCGTTCAGTAGATGGAGATGGCAGAGGCGAAGGTTATTTTTGTGTTGTTGTTGCTGGTTTAGGGATCGTTTGTGAAGAAGAGGGAGAAGAGAGGGGGAAAGGGAAATGCAGGAGAGAGGGATAGCTCTTTTCTCCGAAAAAATGGAGTGAAGAAAGGAATTATGATTAGTAAGGATATGGTTATCTTACATAACGGTCTCTATTCTGTTTGAATTGAGCTTGGAAGGAAGTGATAAGGACGAGCTGCAACCAATTCATAGTGAGAAGAGAGCTATGAACTGTGATCATGTCTTATTTCAAGTTAGAAAGCAGTTTCAGTATAAGGATTATTTAATTTGACAAGTTGTTTCGTCCATGATTCTTGGTAGTTTCAGTGCCATTCTAGCGGTTGTTTAGTATGTAATTTTTGAGAATTGATGTGCGAGTAATGACTTTCACTTAGCTTCAACGATTATGTGTGTATTTATTGGCATGTGATAGAATTCTCTTTTCCTTTTCTTTGAATTCAGTTTCATACTCTAATTGTATCATTTGTACATAGGCAAATCATGCTCGAGATGACAACTCGCTGATATGGCTGGTGCAAGGAACGAAGCCATCATTAGAATTCAGACCGACAACGGGGAGGGATGCCCAAGACTAATTCAATGATGATTGATGATGGTATGATAAAAACTGCAGTCTGCATCAGCACCAATTTCTAGGCCTAAGTAAAGTTATCAACCCAGAACTCTGCTTAGTGCTAAAAATTGCCCTCACCCAACCTTGATCCTGTTTGACCCACTTCTGAAGAGTCAAGATATATGACTAATCCTCTCCGTTCGTATTTTCTTATTGACTCTTTCTGGCCCTTTAGGTTGGGTCGGGTCGGGAAGAATCGGATTAGTGGGTCGGTCCTAATCAAGTGGAATCCAAATCCCTTCACTCTCACTTGCTTTCTCTCACATTCCACAAGTGGGTAACATAGAGTAATCCGGCCAACGGGCCGGGTAATAAGCTAGTAGTATCTATTTTCCCTTTTATTGTACTCAAGTCAACCCACACATGGCTTGCTCTTCTGGGCGTGGTCGATGAGCTCTTGCACGCAGAGCCTGACTGGGTAATTAGGACGATGGAGAATATTGAAGGAAGCCTCCAAAGCCGACGTCATTGCGTAGCATACGCACGTCTCTGCAAGGTAATACACACACATCTTAACTTATATTATGGCCGTTGTAGAGAAAGTTTTTGTCACGTAGGACAAAGAAAGCTCCACAATTTTCCATGTCATTTTATCATTTTTATATTTAAAAGTTATTAATTACATTAAAATAAAACTAAATAAGCATTTATATCAATCATCATGATCAAGATTTGAACCTGTGACCTATGAGTTTAAACTATCATCATTTCAAGTGTTCAACCAGTAGGATAAACTATAATCATATAAGTTGTTTAACCAATAGAATTAAATCTCTTTGATGCAATTAATTACAACAAGATTAATACTCATGTTATAAAAAATATACAACACATAACATTCTATTTTTATTTAATGGTTGACTTCTATACATTACAGAATAAAAACTATCATGGACAAAATTTTGTATTCTATTTCTTAACAATGATAGAAAATCATTAACAACTACAAATAACCTATGTTTAATATTTAGTTTATAATACGTTTGATATTTGTTCATAATTTTTAAAAAATAATTAAAGAACCAAAAAAGCATGAAATTAGTCGATACAAATTCTAAACTTTTACATAATTTGACATGTGATTTTCTTTTAAAATTTAAAAATAAAAAGCAAAGAATAACCATCTTTTGTATTCTAAAATATGAAGAATTTAACATTTTGTTTGTAAAAACTATTATAAATATGTTAACCAATACAGTTATGTTGCAG